CCAAGGGTGTACTGGTTAGCGTGGGTATTCTGTCAGTGCCAAAGCTCTGGTAGAAGGTGGGGCCTCAAGAAGCCGAGAGCCTTCTTCACTAATAACTTCCCTCACTTGAATATTTAGTTTTCCCTAATTCATGGCTGACAAGAGTTAAGGAAAACTTGGCAACAGAACTGTGTGGTGTCCAGACATCTTTTATATTTAAATCTTTAATCTATTTGCCATTTTCTGAATAATCCGTTTTCTCCCCAAGGATTTGCAGTGTTATCTACATTATGTGCTAAACTCATATCTATTCTTAGGACCGTTTCTGGGGATTTTCATTCTGTTCACTTGATTTGACTGGCTATTCCTGTATTAACACTACACTCTACACTGTTTTTAATTATTGAAGCTTTATAATACAGTTTAATACCTGGTACAGCACATTCCTCCTCATTCTTCTTTTTAAAAAATTTTGGCAGGGTTGCACTTATTTATTCTTCTAGATGAAGTTTAGACTAATTTCCCAGCATTAAAAAGAATACTGTTGGGATTCTTTTTCTTGGAGTTATGTTAAATTTGTAGACAAACTTGGGGAATATTGACATTTTTACTTTGAGGGTTTATATCCAGAAATGTGCTATTTTTTCCATTTATTTGGATTTTCTTGTGTCTTTCAGCAAAGTTTTACAGTTTTCTTCCCATAGATTCTTCCCAAACCGTTTTAAGTTTGCTCCTGAATATGCTATACTTCCTTCTTGCCTTTGTACATGAGATATTTTATTTGTTTTTGGGTTTTTGGCACTGGCTGGGAAGGGGATCTGAATGTACATGAGATATTTTAAGTTCTCTGGATGTACTTGGATTTCCTCGGTCAATATGTGTTTGCCTCTATTTTTATTTTCCTCTGGCCATTAGAGTAGAGATGTAGGAGGGAGGCTCAGGCACTTCAGATCGCTTGCTCCTGGAGGAAGTGGAAGTGAAACCTATGCTTCCCTCCCAGACTTGGAATCCTTTCCACCCCTGCCCCTTGTGACGTGAGTAGCCATGAGAGAAGCTTTCCTTTTGCTTTCATTATCTTTTTATAAAACTCTCACTAATTTTTTAAATGTAAAAAAAAATAGTATCTTTAGCAAAAGCAATATCTATGTTTCCATAGAAACTGGATTAGATTTTCCATGAAATATTTTAATGACAAAAGATGTTTGTTTTCTTTAAGGAAGAGTTCAGTGAACTGGATTTACCACATCCACCTAATAAGATACTTTTGAGTTTCCTGTTGGTTGTAAAAGGAATATTATAGTGCTGTAGTTATCTGAGTTAAGAATCATCAGTGGGAACTATTATAAGAGGGGTCTTCTTGCTTTTTTATCGGGTTCAGGAATTGAATTTCACCACTATATGATGAAACTGAGTCTGCTTAATATACTTCATTCCTCCCCTGTGGCTGGCCCAAGCATTAATGTGGAGATGTGTCTTCAGGCGTTGGCATGTGGGCAGGGCAGTCATCAGGCTGGAGCAGTACAGCACTGGAGAAGACCAAAGCATGCACTGCCAAAGACAGAAGTTGGCTTTGGATCTCTGCAAAAATCCAGAAAGAACTCTGGTCCTATTTTCGTAGAACTAGACCAGAAAACACTGAATGAACAAGTAATACCCTCACCTTGAATTAGTCAAATGGCTTATTTCTAGTTTCACAACCAGGAATGTTCTTTGGAAACCCACATTTGGGTAGTGAAAATTGCACTTTCTGGGCTAGATTCTTGTGTAACAAGAAATGACGATGCATCAAAAGATTATTCTATTATTATATTTTTATCAGTAGACAAACTTCCTAAAAAATTTACATACTCATATCTGTATATAAACTTCATCATAAAAGGACTAATGTGACACTATTCTGAATCATGCAGTCTTTGCAAATAACAAGCAGGATGAAAAATGTCTAAATATAATTTTAATTTTTGAACATTCTTCCTAATTTGAAAATTAGTCTATAAATTCTACAGTGAGAAATAAGTTGAATAACTATATAAGTGACTAATTATACTTTCTCATAGTGTTTCTAATAACATGATCTATTTTTATGGCTCTTTCCAAAGAATATTATGCAACATAAACAAGTACATTTTACATACAGGTCCTGCTTCCCCCCACACACACACATAGTAGTGGGCAGAGCAAATCTCCAATGTTAGTCTTTGCTTGCAGTTCTTCCACATGGACAGCTTTTCACAGCAAGTGGAAGTCATAGAATAGTAAAGCATTCGTACCATAACATCTTCCTAGCTCCAAAATAAGTGCTATACTCCTGGAGCTTGTCAAGGCCTAGAGGGCCCTTGGAGAGTCTAGGACAACTTCCTCATGATCCACATGAGGCAGGAGGTTTAGAAGGATGACTTCATGCACATTCATGTGTCTTACAGCTTTCTGAAGCAGTCGTCTTCTTTTGGTCTGCATTCCCAACTTTTGCTAATATAGTAAAATTCTTAAGAGGAAAAATGGGCAAACCTAAAGGCATGCATTATTTCCCAGTTCAGCTGGAGGGTAGCCTCCAAGGCTTCCCTCTCTGTTCAGGGAGCTCTGTTTCAGGTAGTTGTGTGTAGGCAGTGAAACTTTATCTAAAACCCCAAGACTCTGAACGCTGCTGAAGGTGCAGAGATGTACTAGAGATGGACTCTGTCCTCTGGAAGCTTACAGTATAGTTGAATTGACGACATAATCCATTCAGCAAACATTTGTTAAGCGTGTGTGTGTTCAAGGCACTGTGGCAACCCAGCAGTGATTAAGCTGCAGCCCCAGCTTTCTAAGATGTTTGCAATGAACAGCTAAGTAACAAATATCAAACAGTGCAGGCAGTGCCGTGAACCTCCCAGTGAATAGTATAAACAAATAACTATTCAGAAAATGGAGGAATCACTGTGGCCTGGGAGGGCTTGTGAAGGCTTTAAGGTGGTGGGCTTAAGGAAAAACTCCAAATCTCGGCTATTTCTCACATTTATGGAATCTGCTAGGTTCTGGAATAAAACCCAAACCAATTGTCTTAGTCTGTTTTGTGTTGCTATAACAGAAATACCTGAGACTGGGTAATTTATAA